TACATACATATGTTCGAGGTTGCAGAACCAGAGGGCTTTGGTGATACTCTCGATGTTATGCATTCTAGATTGGGCATCAGAATGCTGGCAAATCTTGCAAGTGACAAGTAGTACCCTAGCCATCCTGAAAAAAAGTGATGGTCATTGTGAGATTCTACTCGAACCATGTGATGATCTGCACAATCAAACCGATTAGCATTGACTATGATATATTAAATGTTCATTAAGTTTTATGTATGTTTTAGCCTTTTTTGTGTTTTAGCTGCACAATAAATTTAAATTTTTAAACATTTATAGTGTCAAACTATTTAGATCAGTATAGTTTCAATTAAAAAAAAAATTTCTTATTTAATAATATTTTAAATTATACAAAAAAAAAAATTTTTTTTAATACAAAAACGCTAATATTTTAATTTAATTATAATAAGTAGTGACGGCAAGTGTTTAATCAAGACAACTATTTGAAACTAGCGTAACTAAAAAGCAAGCTTTTGGTTACTTGATCCTTGAGTGCTTTGCTATTTACGGGCCTGCAAAGCTTCTTCGCACTCACCAATTGCTTTTACAAATGGTGCTACTAAGGTATCAAAATTTTTTATAAAGTTATCATTATCCATCTCTCTCGTATATAATTCTAATGCTTTTCAAATTTTTTTGTATATTGGGCATATTTTTTCTGTCTTTCTTTTATTTTGTTTTCTGATATCAATATGTTTTGTGAATTATCTGAATGAGAACCTTCAATAACGGAATCAATAACGGGATTAATAACAGGATCATTAACAACAGAATTCTCCACGGTGGTTGTGTTAGTTAGTCCCCATGGGCTATTTCTATAGAATATCATCAGAGGCTTATTAATACCAAAAACAAGTAATGGATAGTCATGCTATCTTGTTGTTTCGCTAAGATAGGCCAAAAATCTTTTTTTTTTCTTTGCAACTAAATATTTGCAAAGAAGATAATGACTATTAACATATGCTGGGCAAGAACATACCCAATTATTCACATCTATATGATACCTTTCATCCATATTAGGTATGATTTCTATCGATAATGCCTTGTTTCAATCATTTTTGAATGCTTGCCACCAAGATGAAAAGTGTCGATTTGTATTATATTGTGCCAACTTAAGATCAAAATTGGGCACTAATTGTTTGACAATAATGCTAGTAAGACGATCAAGCTGGGGCCTATTATAATTGTATTTGTAATTATACTTAAGTACTCGCCAGTGACTTTCTGTAATCATGGTAGTTCGAGCCAAGGGCATTGCTGGCGAATAGGCGGAATGGGCAAACATCTTCTAATCTTTGATATTGTATCAGTTTATTCAAAGATACATCCATAATCCACAAATTTGATGATTGTGACAAAAAATATAGACCTCTTTTACACAAAAATTATAGATTTCGGCCGAACTCCAGAAAGTATTTTTGTCTATTAGAATTAATAGATGCATATTTGCATGATGCTTAATCATACTAATAATTTCTTTAGCTTCTTCTTCAGAACATAAACCTTTAATACTACCAGCTGGAATCCAAAATGGGTTGATGAAGTCGAATTGTTTATGAGCTTCCAATGCTTTTTCCCTTGTGTAAGTATTTGATCATGGCTTTTATCTTTTAGATGTTTGCTAATAGCATTTTCCAAATGCCAATAGCATAGTTGAATATTCGTTGTTTATGAACAAGCTTCATTAACAGCTAAAATTTCACTCACATCTTTGTCTAATAGAACAAATAAAGGTAATAACCCTTTGTGGCAAAGACTTCTGAAAAATTTTTGAAGAACTTGAATATGAGTAGTTATCTCCCCACTTGGATATTGATATACTGTCTTTAGACTATCAGATGTTAGTAAGTATAAGTATGCTAGTGGCATACCATACCCACCGCAGTTAGCATTTACAACAAAAAGCTCGAAACGTTCCTGATTTGTCTTGAATGTAGAATCTATTATGACCTCATTTATATTTCTTACACCAATTCTATTAAACAGTGGAGTAATGAATCCCAAAGCCCGCATGAAATTATTATTAAAGTAAAAGAGAATTTTGAATCCTCTAGATGTAAGTTCAGGCCATTCAAGGTATGTTTTAGTTGATAAAAGTTGATTATCTTGATTTGTTAAATATGTTTGCTTGCTATAAACTGACACCCAATAATATACTTGTTCTTTCGTATGTACTGAAAGAATTAGTTTATTTTCAATAAGGTGTCAATATAATACTAAAATTGGCAGATTATAATTTTGACATTCCTGGATCCATTTTTTTGCCTCTTCCAGAAATTCCATTTGTCGATATAATAGATGTTCATGCAAGCACAAATGTTCGCCTCGTATGCTTGCATATTGTAATTGTGTATTAATACTAATTATAATTTTACTCTTGCAGGGAAATCATTGAATTGCAGGATGGGCTTCACTTTTTCTTTTGATCTCCTAGTTTTCTGGTCTTTGCCAACCTCGATCTTTGTGTGATGCACACTCAAGATATGCTGTAGCACATCCTGTAAATTCTTTTCTTTTAAAATTTAAAACTAATTTTCCCAAATTTCAATAATATCTAGATTCAGATTTTAACGGTAAAATAAGTATTTTGATAAGTTGCGCAAAACTGTTTTTGGTCTTTTCCAAGTTTATTGGGCCAGTTTCAAGCTCCCAATCAATTTTAATTACTTCTAAAATCTCAGAATCCAATTTGATCTCTAATGCAAATCTTGTGGGCTCTCCAAGTGATTCAGCATTTTGAAATTGTGTGGCAATAAATCTCTCTACTTCGTCTATACAATATGAAAGCATATTCTCTTTTTTATCATATTCATCACTACTATCATGCACTTCAATCATATTCGTAGATTCATCATCGAAGATGCTAGATTCTAATGCTAGTTCAAGATTATCATGATCTTCAAAGATGTTATCAACTTGAAGAAAATCTGTGACATTAGTCCTGAAAGTTGAAGTGCTAATGGTTAGAACTACTATTTCAAGGTCAGTAGTAAGTTTACTTCTCTTTTTGGGATTTGCTTCCTGTCTTTTTTTAGCACGTCTTGCAGAAAATCTATTACAAGTATCATGCTCATATTGTGGATTACTATCATGAAGTCGGCAGAAGTCTTGTTTTTTCTTGAAGTTGTGACAGGTAGAACATTTTTTAGTTTTAGTAACTTGATTAGACGAACTGTTTTTGCTCATTTTTTATTATATTAGTTTCAGAAAAAATAAATTTATTTTCGAAAAGATGGTCTAGATTATCTAATTTAGTTGAATTAATTATAATTCTTGAGAGGTTATGCGTGATAGATATAGTTTACAAATTAAACACGTATTTACTGATTTGTAGTTTATTAAATAAGCGTTTGAGATATCAAATTTAAATAAATATAATTATTTTAAAGAATTTAATTTTAAAGAATTTTTATTTTTTTAGGATTAAAGACACGATTTAAATGCTTTTCAATTTTTTAAATTCTATATTTTCAATATAATTTAAAATTTCCTTTTATTTACAACAATTTTTCAAGTTTTTTTTATTGCGCCTTTCCAATAATAGTTTCGCAATTTTAATTATACAATTTTTCACGCAGACTTGATGGGCTTAAAATGCATATATTCTAAATAAGGAATATAAAATAATGCATATGTATGGCTAATTCAGATATAACACAGAACTATATTAACTTTCTTTTTCAAGATAATTATTTAACTACTTCTGCATCTTAATGCTTGACCTCTGCAGAATTATTTAATTATTTCTGTGTTTCGACGTTCAACTTCTGCAGAGTCATTTAATTATTTCTGCATTTTAGTATTCAACTTCTGCAGAAATGTTTAGCCTTCTTTAATCATTCTAATATGGATAATGAAAAAACATGCAAACATTAATTCATAATGGCTCTACGTATAATGAAAATAACTATATATGTAAGTTTAAAAAGCAATATACAAACCATCTTAAATTTGCGAATCAACAAATTAGAATGGCATAGAAAATTTAAAATCTTACAAGCACTTATCTTGATCATAATTAAACCAAGAGAAGCCAGTTGATTGCTGACTTGTAGAACAATAAATAAAGTTTACTATTTTCTTGTACACCATTCTTAAATCGCTTAACAAATTGCTAGTAGTCTAGTAATTCACAAGAGTTCTCATCAAATCTATTTTTCTTTTTTTGTGAGAATTATGAATATTAAAACCTGGATTATTTTAAAAAAAAATATTATTAAACGATTCGATAGAAACCAGAAGCAGCTCTAGCAATAATAACTAAATCAAGGTATCTGGTAGTGCCCTAGCTATCCCGAAAAAAATAAGTCATTGTGGATTGAACAAAATCAATCGTCAAAATGTAATTTTTTCCCAAATTTGAGCGAAGATATCTTGACAACCACCTAAGATCAATGAAAATTTTTTGATTCCAATTCTATTTATATGTCTGTACAATTGAATAAAAACATTTTATTAATTTTAGATAGGTATTTGTAAGGATATCTTCGCTCAAAGTTTAGAAAAAACTTTGATAATTATCAAAACAAGCTGCGACAGAGTTTTTTTCAAACTTTGAGCAAAGATATCTCAATAACTACCTATTTTA